TGAATCATATTTAATTGGATACTTGTAAGTGACATAGCGCGCGTGTGTCGATCTATCTTTTGAATGAATCGTAGTATAAACGAATGCCGTGATTTATTCACTATGACGTCGCTTGCATTCATCCAATTCTCATGTTTTCCACATTTAAATGTAGCATAAAAATCAGGTCTTGCTTAGTTAGTTTCAAGCTGCTTGTAATTGTAATTTCGGCCTTAACACGCAACCACAGAACGCTTGTCATTGACGTAGTAAAAGCAATTTGATAAAAAAAAAAATACTGCTCTAAACATTTAAAAATTAAATTTTAAAACATTTAAAATTTAAATTTTTGACTCATTTAAATTATTGGAACACTTTAAAACGAGTGATTTTATTGAAGGTAGAAATGGACAAAATATTTACTTTTAATTTAAAATATTACAAAATATTTACTATGTGATAATTTTCAAATTTGCGTGATAATTATACTTCTAAAGCTTCCGTCTCAATAAGAACAATTAAAACACAGAATATTATAAAACATTAAAAAATATTTCCATTTATAAATCTATTTATAATATTACATGAAAATTCTTTCCATTGTATTGAGCTGCCAAAGTTTGACGAATGCTTAGAGATATCAAAATCTTTTCTTTTGGAGTTCGTTCTTCCATCAGTCTTCTCAAATTCTGAAAAAAAAAATATCGCAATTAGTTTGTAGAGTTAAAAATTTCGAACATTAGTTTAAAAAAAATTAACGATTTCGAGAGATATTTAACGAGATAACTTGATTTCTTTAGATAACAAACTTAAGATTTTTAACGGCTTATAAATTTAACCCTTCAAGGACGAATGCCTTCATATAAGCGGCAAGGCATTTTCACTTACTAGGTTCAATGCCGAAATATATAAGCAATACTTCCACTTATTAGATTCAATGTCACCATATAAGCGGTATGGCACTTATTATAGGGTGAATGGCGCGTAATGTGGTGGCAAAGCATTTTATTATTTTTATCATTCATTTTGATTAACATACGTATAAATAACTTAATTATAAATTATTATGTATTTGTAATTAATGTCATTAATTACTAAATCACGCATAATAGGTGATAAACTTGAAATTATTCCAGATTGGTAAGGGTTAAAATAAAAGTTGAAATTACTCGTTTTGATGGAAATTTTAATCATATTTCCAAGAATATTAATTACCCTACCAACTCATTAAACTCAATGCATCCTTTAAAGTTTTAGATTTTTTATGAAATATGCAAAGCGGTTAATTCTCGAATCAATATTATGTCTCATTCAAGCAAAAATACATATTTTATTACATATAGTACAGATACATGAATTTGTTTTAAATATTCCCTTAATCAAAGTAACATACATTCGGGGTAATTATTGGTAATTTGTTTCAAATTTCGATACATTGCTATTCCAGTTGCATTCAACGGTTACGTATTTCGGCTTATAAAATTTGTATTTTTTTGCACTTACCCAAATGATATTATCTGACATCACGTGTGCACTGCATAACATGATGTAGCAATCAAACCATTCTCCGCTTTTTACGTTTTTGGAAAGTGTTCTAAGAAAAGACATGTTCAGCCTTTTTTTCACGTCGGATGTTTGGCATAAAAACGAATGGAAACTGACATACCGGTAATAACCATGTGATTATTTTATTCAAAAATTTCATTTTTAATGCCTTGGTAAGAAACACAATAAGATTAATGAGAAGTATAGTTTGTCTACGGTAAGCACTCTCCCAGCCACAAAGTCTGAGGTCGCCTGCTAATATGGAAACAAGAACAACGCATTTCAGGGTGGTTAGCTTCTCTTTATTCTAGAGTTAATTCAAAGATTAAAGAAAAATATTCCTTTTCTGTTACCGACCCAAGCCAAAACCTGTCCTAAACAATGACCCCACACCCCTACTTGAAATAGTTATACCTCGTTACCATAGACACAGCCACGGGTCCAGACGAATGGCTAGGGTAGTTCTTACTTTAGACAAACTATATCAGTGCACGAAAAAAACCTACCTCGAATAACTTTTAAGCGGATTTTCACGTACTAGAATTCAATCTTAATGGTTCCAAACGGTTTTCAAAAAAAAAAAAATAAATAAATAAATAAATAAATAAAATAAAAAATAATAATAATAAATAAATAAATAAGTAAATAAAACGATGGAAAAAAGCGACCAGATGTTTATTTAATTTAAGTTGCCTCTATATTTTGTTCACTCGCCACGCGGCTAGTGGTTATTTTTAGGTCTAAAATTAGCTATCCTAATTATAGACCTAAAAATAATTAATTACTTTATGACGCTCTGTTTCACAAATTCAGAATAAATGCTGCTACATCATTTTTAACTACTTACTAAAAAGAAGTTCCTCGATGAGCTTGAATCAGTTTCATTCATTTCTAGTATACTCATGAAATCAATGTCCCTAAATTAAAATTAAAAAAATATATAATTAATTTATATTTTATAGTGAATTAAAAAGTAAAAAATAAGATAAAATTTTTTGTATTAAATAAGCAATATCGAGAAAAGCAAAATCCAACCACTGGAAATGATAATTCTTAATTAATTTTCCATTAAAAAAATTCTTGGGTATGAATATTTACCTGAATTCGTCTTGACTGAGTATTTTCTCTAAATGCAAAAGTGTATTTCCTGTGAGAGTTAGCATCAAAGCTTTTGGGGATCCTTCGCGAGATTTCTTCAATAAATTTTTTATTTCCTGGAAAATGAATAAAAATTTTCAGACTCTAAAGAACTTACAATATGGTACAATAATGAAAGGAAATCAAAATACAAATTTTGCTATCGTTTCCGATAATAATTAGGTTGGCTATAAATTTTTAAATATAAATTTAATTTTCACAGCGATTTCAAAATGTAGAATATCTATCTGTATACTCTGAAGAAAATGTTCACAAAAGAACGAGCAGGGTCGGGATAGCCTGATTGGTAGGGCGCTGAATCCATGTCCAAGAGTTCATGGGTTCGATCCCCACCGACCGAAGACTCCCCGTGTAGTAAATGGTGACTTCTGCACTTTAAATCTGTCGAGTCTCAAAGCCCTCCATTTTCCCATAACAAATCAATACCTCTGGGAGTACTGATCCAGGAGTTTGCTTGTCTTCTGGATTGGTTCAAAACTACAAGGATACGGAGTTGAACATTAGTAGTCGTAAACCCAAAATTGGGTCGACTGTTCAACGACGGCTATATATAAAAGAAAGAGCAAAGGAAGGCAACAATGAAAATGGAAGCACTGACCAACATTGCAATGCCACCTGAGAGGTATTACCATGTCGTCAGTGCGGGAGCAGTTTCTGCGGTTGACGATTAAATACCACAAACAGCCATGCACCATGAAAGAGTGATAAACAAGAAATAGAAAGCAAGCCAGGTGAGGATTACGTACTGAAATCAAAGTAGAAATATCTATATTTGACAGACTGAAAACTCGATCTTTCGGGTGAAAGTTAAAGGCTGTAGGTTCGATTATAAAATTAGTTTATATGCCAAAATGAAAGCAAAAGAAAAAAAAACTGCGAATGAAGTACTTAAAGCTGCGTATAGTATCTCAGTAATATGTATATACACATTTTTTAAAATTACCTTTATGAAAAAAACAACATTATTTGGTTGCGTATCATTTGAAGCAGCTTCACTTTTAACGAGCAAATCCAATCCATCGAATTGATTGTTTAAAGCCCAGGCAGACAAGTTGTGAGGATTGACAGTCATGTTAGATACGTCAACAGAAATAGTTCCTAAGATTTGGAGCCTGTGATTCAATGAACGCAGATAAGTAAATTTCTCTGAAAAATAAAATTTGAAATAACGTTATATAGCTTAACAACAATGAAGAAATAAGTCTTTTAAACTGAAAAGATTATCAATTAAACTTTCAAGTGCCAAAAATAGAAGGAAAAAAAAAACTTAATACGTAAAAAAAAAATTGAACAAACTAAATGTGTCAGCATTTTGAAATTAAAATAATATTTAAGAAATAACAGATGATTTTAAAAATCAATTAAAGAATAACTGAGAAACGCTGCGTTCTACTTAGGAGATAAATTTACCAAGATTTAAAATTAATTGCGAAATTTCACAGCAGATGGCACGACAAAGGGGGAAAACTCAAAAACCAATGTCTGTTGCTGTATGCCAAGATATTTCAATTATAATATTTGCACAGTTTTCTTTTAGTATGTTCAGACAGCGCCATGCTTTTTTCTGCAAAAAGTGGTTATTTTAAAAGCAGTGTGTATTATTTTTTTCAGCAGCGCCATCTGTTGAAATTTTTTTAACAAATTTTGAAAATTAGGGAAAATGAATTATGTGGTTTTCATAGCAACGAATGGTCATAATTAACTTTCAACTAGTCGTTCTTATATTTCTCCCGTTTTGAGTTTTCGAACTAAAACCGCTATTTTTTGAGCAACCGGTATTTCTGAAATAATATTTCGCATTAAAAATTTGATACTCTTGGTTGTAAAAACAACTTTTTTTCATTTCCTATTTTGTGTTTTTCCACCTAGAACATTTCTAAAAATTGAAATTTCTAAAGTTTAAAATAATATAGAGAATTTTTTGTTGATTTTAAGTACTTAAAAAGCTAATTTTGAGCTGGAAAAATATAGTTTACCCTTAAAAAAAGGGAATATTTAAAATTTTTCAGCATTTAATTTTTAAGAGTTTTCTTTTGTTCAGTGAAAGAAATACTAAACATGGTTCTTTAATCTCTGGGAAACAGCCTTAACTTACTTATATCTGAAGCTGAAGTTCCAAAATCTAGGAGGATGTGCGTGCAGAGGCATGGATTTATTTCAAATACTTGAAGTTTTCCACCGTTCAAGAAACGACAAAATATGACTTTGTCTGATAAGTCGTTTTTGCAGATATTGGCTGCAAAGTAAAAAAAAAAAAATCAGTATGTATTTGAATTAAGAATTACACCAGTAAAAAGAGGATATGAGTGAGAACATTAGGAATACAATAGAGACAGTTGTGATTCATCATTGAAAAAGTAGGCAAGAGGGGTGCATTGCGAACTGTAAGTAACTGATTAACCAGATCAACTGAGAGCATTCAAAGTGAATGTAAAGTCAACCTGAGAATGATGCGAATAGTTACAGTGGCGGAAGATGACTGCACAGATTGTTACGAGCAGTGGTCGGAAGTTGCACACTACAAGTAGTGAAACTACTGTAGTCGCTACTTTTTTCATAGTTTGTACTGTAGCGTGTTACTTTTTTAAGAAACGCATTGTAGTGAGTAATGAGATAAAAAACAGTAGTTTGTAACGATTTCTGGCAACTACTTTTAACGTTAGTTTAGAGAAGAAACATGGTTCGAACGCAAAAAAGTTTTCTAATTTGGTGAGTACAAATCCTCGCTGGTCCGTCAATGGATACAATGAAAATGAGCTATTAGCTACTTGCTGTAGTTAAGTGTTTACAGGAATTATTAATTTAAAATCACGTATAACTAATATTTGTTGTTGTAGTAGTGGCTGGGTGGAGCAGTTGGTTTGTCGTCGGCCTTCTGAGCCCAAGTCTGCGGGTTCGATCCCCGGCCCAGACACCGGATTTTCGGGGTGCAGAAAATCCTCAGCGGCCATGTCGTATGATTATGCGGCATGTAAAAGATCCCTGGAGTGCCTTATTGGCTCTTGGCATTTCCGGCCAAATTAAATTCCTAGTGCACTTTAACATCCAAATAAGAGTCTCGGTGCTGTCATCTAGTGTGGCAGAAACTAGACGTCCAAATTAACATGGCCAACGGTAACTCACCCATTGTGGTGGTCCTGAAAGAGTGGATACCACTTCTGGAGAACGCACTAGGTCTGCTCATGTGTGCGCATTATGCAGCTCATTGGAAATTTAAAAAAAATGTTGTTGTAGTTGTAGTTGGTTTAAGTCTCACTGGAGCTGCACAGTGGGCTATTGGCGACGGTCTGGGAAGCATCCCTGAGGATGAGCCGAAGACATGCCATCCCAATTTTGATCCTCTGCAGAGGGGATGGCACCCCCGCTTCGGTACCCCGACGACCTGCACGCGAAGTCGAGCACTTTACGGTAGAACAGTTTAACGAGGACCAATACCGCACACCCTCGATCCCCATGCAGACTGATCCAAGTGGTCACCCACCAGCACACTGACGGCAGCCAGTGATGCTTCAAATCCAAAGTAGTTTGTAGTCACTACATTCAAAAATAAGTAGGTGTAGTTAACTACATTTGTAACAAAGTAGTTTTAGTAGTTGTAAACTATAAAAATAATGTAGTTTTTTTCCGACCACTGGTTTCGCATAGTAATTCTTTCATTACCTCTAATAATTTCATCAGCAGCAATGGATTCATGAGAGATCATGCTGTTTGCCTCATTCGAATCTTAGAAAATCTGATAGTGATTAAAACTGTTACATTATTTGTTTACATTTCTAGCCAATGTTTACCACAAATTGCAAAGAAATGTTTGCAATCAGCTCATATTCTGCCACCGAAAAATTGTATTAATTCATATTACATGTTCGAGATGCATCCCTCTTAGCACAACTTTACATTCATTTGAAATGTTTTCCTGAGAACTGGTTAATCAGTTATACTCATACTGTTGTACACTTCTTTTACATTAATTTTTAATCCAGAACGATGACACGGCAATCGCTACTTTATATTTAAAACTATCACATTTGTACTTTTTTTTATTTACACAACCCTAATATTTCATTTCATTTGAGCATAAATGTATTTATATTAAAAACTTGATAGCAACTCATTTTAATTAAGAAGAGTTTCCTACGATCTTTTAAGAATATCAATATATTAGAAAGGTACAAGGTGTCTGGCAATCAATGCTTTTAATATAATATATTGTCTGAAATCAATTCTTTTGAGGCTACATATTAGAAGTCTCAAAATTAACATAAAAAAGTGTAAGAACAAAACGAAAATTCAAAATATGACGAATCATTAATTAGGTCAATCACAACAAAGATTGAATTCTGAGGATTACATTCTGCGAAATCTTTGTAAAGCAGGAGAAGAAAAAAGAGAGGTTCGAGTTCTGGAGATAAGAGGATGGAGTTTCGTTTCTTCGGCCAATTTGCATTTAATTATATCTATTACCTATTATATTTTATAATTACATCTATTACCGATTATATCTATTCCCGATTTGTATTCAGTATCTATTACCGATTATATCTATTCCCTATTTGTATTCAGCATCTATTACCGATGTTTGAGATGTGTCTCTTTTCTAAAATTAATATTTGAGACAGAGGGCTAGTCTGCGTCATTTATTGACAAATTCTTATGCATCTGCTTAACCTATGCCTTGTGTACCAAGTTAATAAGGTTAAATTTCAAAATGTCCTAAACTTTTGATGACAGCTTAGAATAGTTTCTCGTCAAACGATTTTAAGACCGGACTCTGTTCTTGCTTAAATGATCAAATATTTAAGATATCCAACTGGTTTTGATACAATTTTTCTTTTTAGAAAAAAGGTTCAATTAAAATTTCAATTTTATGTTTGGTAACCATAAAATTGAAACACTTCGCCATTATGCGTTATCTATATTTATCACACTAGCCTCCTAAGGCAGCCAACTGTCCGCCACGCTAAAGGTTTTCACAAATAAAGTTTTTTAAAACATAACAGGAAATAAAGAATAGAAAAACCAAAGAGATCCAAGGTAAGTGTGATCGTTCCTTCAAAAACAATTAAATTCCTATTTTATATATTATATAGCTGCAACGCTTAAGAAAAAAAAAACTGAAATGCCAAATACATGAAAAGAACACGAAAACGAATTAATTTTTTATGGTATCAATTTCTATTTCTATATCGCTACAAAAATTATCGTCTTCGCTTAAGAAAAAAAAAAATAGAGCGTGGAAAGAAGAAGAAAAACTGATTATAACAATTATGAACAGCGACAAATATATCAAAGCGAAGCGTTCTATTTACGTATCGAATATGTTGCCACATTTTTAATACAAAAGTTAAACTTTTCTCCACTTTGATAAATGTAAACTAATGCGAACCTTACAATTAAATTATTAATTCCTTTGTATATTATTGGTTTAAGTTGTCGAAGATTAATATTTAAATTGTAAGGTTCGCATTAGCATGCATTTATAAGAGTGGAGAAAAGTATATGCATTTTTTAATAGTTTTTTGAATATGGCTCTTTGAAGACGAAAAAGCATAGATTTTCTTACAAAATGACTGATAACTAAAAAGCTAATCAAAATTTTTGAAAAAGAAAAAAAATACTTCTTCATTATGTCAAAACACAATTATGTGCCGAGTTTCGTGCCCGGGCGAGGCTGGGGCGATATATTGTGATTACAGACAGACAGACAAACAGACACACACACACAGCCGCGTTTATTATTATGTATAGATTGCGCCATCTATGGCCAAGGATCCTAAGACTTTAAAGTAAAATTAAAAAAAAAAATTATAAAATATTTTTTAAAATAAGGAGAAATTTGAGCTTAAAAACTACAAATTTATGTCACGCTAACAGATCTATGACAAATTGTAATGCATAAATTTCAAAATAAGATTTTTTTCTAGATCAATAATGTGATAATTAGTGTTTTGAACGAAAATCTTAAATGTTCGGAAAAACAATTAAAAACATTAGTTAATTAAATACATTGTTTAATATCGAATTTTTATGGAAAAATTCTAAATATTCTTACTTAAACCTTAAGAAAAATTACAAATTCCCCCTTAGACTTTAGTTTTTAATTCAAAACATCACTAACATTCTTCAAAATCTGTTTACAAAATTTCAGAGAATTTCATTATAAACTTTGTTTGCAATGCGTGTTAGCGTAAGAAAATTTTATCAAAATTAACCTTCTACAAAAAATGCTTTTAAAATGCAAGAAAATTCTAAACGGTACGAATATACTCTGACTAAAATAATTCAAAACTAACTTCTGAAAATAAATTTCATTCATCTTAGCAAAATTTATTCAAATTTAGGAGTTATTATACTCAAATCAATCAGGAGTTATTGTACTCAAATCAATCAGGAGTAATTATACTCAAATCAATCAGGAGTTATTATACTCAAATCAAAGCAAAAAACTTAAAAGCTTCGTTTTCGGGAGTTTACTTCCGTTTTTTGTCAGCATATGAAACAACTACTATAACCTACAAAATCTATAACTTACTACTATAACTTATCTACTAACTTATCTACTATAAGTTATAAAATCTATAACTTATCTACTAACTTATCTACTATAACTTATAAAATCTATAACATATCTACTAACTTATCTAATAAAACTTATAAAATCTATAACTTACTACTATCTATAACTTACTACTATCTATAACTTATCTACTGTAACTTACAAAACTAATCTATAACTTAATCTATAACTTATCTGCTATAACTTACAAAATGCAAAAATTAGAAACCAAAAATTTAAAGAGTTTTGAAAAAAGCTAAGGAATTAAAATTCAAATGTTGAGTTTAGATGGAATTTAAATATTTTGGGGAGTTTACTTCCGCTTTCGGTTTTGTCCGTCAGCATACGAAAAAACTACTATAACTTCATTTCTAAAAGTCAGAAATCAAAAATTTAATGAGTTTTGAAAAGCTAATAAACTAAAATTTCTATAAATATAAAAAAAAATCCAAATTTTTGTCGAAATTGCTGATTTTTACCCAGAGGGATAACTTAAAATCATAAAAATCATCCATCAATGTTTAGTGGTTTTCTGTTTTAAACAATGGTTACACAATGCATGTTTTATAGCAAAGGCAAAAAAAAAAAAAAAAAAATGATTGAAAAAAAATTAGGACGAAACAATTTTGACAGAAATTTTTTTTTAATATAAATTTTACTACTATGCAATGGCAATGAAACAATAATTAAGCAATATAGTCTTGGACTCGAGCAATAACGTTAGAGTGTTGAGTTAAAAGAAATTTTTTTGTATCAAATTTATGATACCACTCACAGGATCTCTCCCTCCCTCCCCCAATTCATTATTATTTTCTTCATTTATAAATTAAACTACGTGCTCTCAACTTCGTGTCCTCAAACAATATTTAAGCTTAAATCCTGTCTTTTTTTAATATATGGGTCATTCTCACAAAAA